ATGAGAAAATGAAATTCAATGAATTCCATTTCTTCATTTCAACAAATGAATAGATCAACGCACGCAAGATCGCGCGCATAGATCTTGTGGTTAATAGAAATGAGAAAAAGGGGGTAAAGCGGACGCTGTTCCATCGTCAACGACTCGAGAACGTAGAGTGGAATTTCCTCATTTCTTTTCCAATTTTCAAGCCACGTTCTGAAGCTCTATAATCTACCTGATTCATCCAAATTGTGCAATTCAGCCAGGAAATAGTGACGAATACACGGAGAGAATATAGAATTTAAAGTTACTATGTGAACATAGTAATCGAGGACCATGTACGAAAAACTTTAGAATTTGATTTTAAAATTTGATCTAAAATTTAATGATAATCTTGAGTTTTCACCAATAAGTTGTTCAAGTACGGTATTCCTTTGGACAGATTTTTCTATAATGTTTAAGACTACACTGATAAATGTTTAGACAACACATGCCTAATGGAGGCACATCTCACTTTCAGTAGAGATGTGCCTCTATTAGATAAGAAACCAACGCAATTTTCTAATATTCATTGTTTCCATTTTACATAGATGCATTACGCAAATTCGCTTCGAAAGTGTTCAATCCGAATATCCCGAACCGTTGTAAATGCACGTGAGAACACGAAAGACTGCCTGAGCCGAAGCCTCCAATATGTTGATTAGTTTGATTAATTAACTGCGGTCAACTTCCAAAACCTCCGAAACATGAAAACTCCATTCCAATCGCCGTGCGAAAAATGGCACATGCGGAGCCAACCTCAATCTGCAGATTAATTCGTTTCGTTGTGCATCAAGCCGTGCGGTTCGGAGCTGAAATTCCCAGGAGTGCTGAAAATGCGACTGGTCGTGCATGTCTGGCTGGTTTTCAACCCCTCGGGTTTGAATTGCAGAAAGATTTCATGCAGAAACAGGTGCCCTAAACCAGTTCTACCACGTGTTAGATGATGCTCCGAGCTCAGTGACCAAATCCAGATTAGTGGCAGCATCCTTTTGAGGTGAATCCATCAATCGATCATGCTGGGTATCAAATTGGAGCAAGGCTAAATACACAGAGAACGAAAGTTTCTAGTCTCCAGCCCCACGGTAGTAAAATCCAGAACTATGGTGAACTCAAAAACCCTGTGTTCTTAAGGGAAGGTTCAACCCGGGAAAAAAACTTTTTCGTTTTTCGAGAAAAAAAATTTAAAACATTATTTTCCGCACGATTTTTGCTCAGGAAGCAGTTGCCTTAAAATTCAGAGGAATCCGGAATTTGAAGAGAGATTTCTCTGAATTTTTCGGATTTTTTATTAATTCTCAGTTCTCATGGATTTTTCTATGAAATCATGACTTTTTAATGAGCAAATGTGTTGAAATGCAGTATGCCCTCATTCAAATACCATGGAAGCTGGATTTCAGTAAAAATTACTGACAGCTAGAGCTCGATTTAACAGAAAAAAGTTAATGGAATTTCAAGTTTTTCTGGAAATTCAAGTGAAGTCCCAATTTCTTAGCGGCAAGTAGAAGAAAATTCCCCAACTTACATGAAATTTGCGGACACAATTGATCATATTTACATGCAAGAAGTCTACAAATACTCAAAAGAAAGTAAAATGAAAGTATAAACCATCCCATCGTCCACAATAAACAATATATGTCTTTCAATATAAACAACGTAGATTAACTTAACTGGATCCATAGTTTGAATAATCTTATGTATAGATTCTAGCACTTTAAATAAATAATATTAACTCACATGAATTCTCAAGTGAAAACGGATATTAACTACCAAAATCCCTTGAATTTTCATAGGATTCCTTTATGTTCATTAATCTACAGCTTTTGCGGATTTTTTCATGAAATCATGTCTTTTCAATGACAAAATTTCTTGAAATTTCAGGGGAAATGTTACTTGTTAGAAATTAGCATGACTCTCGCTGGAAATTTCAGTGGAAAATCAATTCTAAAACTGATGAATTCTTCATCAGAATCAACCAAACGATTTATGCAATCCACTTAGAAGATTCTTCAGGGAAACTTTCTTTACCGTTCACATCTAAATTTATCCACCGCAACAAAAGATTTCTTCTAGCGTTTCCCAGAATTCGAAACAGAAAGAAAAATTAATTAAAATTAAATTAAACTTTGATGTTTGACCGCTCCACCAAAATGTACACACTTTATAGTCTTCCATCCACTATAAACCGATGGTATATATTTCATTTAAAATCGCGGAAGATTTCATAAGTCTTTGATACAGTACACTAATACCCGTTTTGTTCTCTGTGCTTGAATGACACCACTTGCAACATTTAATCTCCTCAAGTTCTCAAGCATGAAGAATTCTTTTTGAGTTAGTAATAGCATTCTGCGAATGAAAGCACCATTTTTAATTTAAGAAAAAACTTACTCTGTGTGATTCCCTGGGGTCGTGCCGCGCAACAGCGTAATCAAGAGGAATAACGAGGCAATGAACTAACTGCCAGAAGCCATTTTAATAGCAAAATATTTGATGCGGTGTACGCAAACTCGTTAAAGCTAAACTTTCCTAATGTGAAATACTCGGCGCAACGACGCTTGAATAATGAATGAAAATGTAGAAAATTCACGGAGTTGAATTCAAAAACGACGGAGGGGTCGGAATACAGCCCGAGTCGAGGATTTGGTTCTGATTGGACGTACACAGGTCTTTCAAGATCTCTCCAGACCTAGATGGACCTGGTAAGTCCTAATCAGTTCTGCGACGTACTTTTCCAGAGACCATTCGAATCCTCAGTTCTTTTCGGTCCTGAGAAGTCCTCCTCGATGCTACCGAGAACGCGTGATTTTACGAGCGGGTGAAGGGGAAGGCATGTATGCGGAGGGTTGAAATTTGTAGCCAACGAGGAGACAGGGTTGCAGAATATATTTTAGCCACCCTCATCTCCCCGTTTGCAGGCGGTGTTTAAATAAAAAATAGTGAACGTTGATTCTGTATTTATTGACCCCCTGATGCCAATGAAACCCTCGGAGGTGACAGAAAAGGGGAAAAAAAATTTCATTTTCACGTGGGTCAAAGGTGAAAGTCGATTTTCGCCAAAATTAAATTTTTTCGCCAAGTGAAAGTTGATTCTGTATTTTCTAACAATTCTGATGCTAATGAAACCCCCGAAGGCGCGACAAAAGTCGAAATAAAATTTTTTTTTTCACCCCGAGCCAAAGAGTCAGATTGTCTGTTTTTCCAGAGGGAAAGTCGACTTTCACCAAAATCGAATTTTTTAGCCGGGTGAACGTTGATTCCAACTATTTAAGCGACGGGCTATTCAGAACTCTCAAAAGTATGTGGAAAAAGTGAAAACTGAAAAAAAAAATTTCACCGGCGGCCACAGGGTTAGATTTTCGGTTTTTACTTGGAACAAGAGTCAGATTTGTTAACACTTTCTTTTTTTATTTGGACAATGCATGCAAGCGGAGGGGCAAGAGTGGCTAGAATAGATTCTGCAACCTTCTCCGCTTGTTGGATAAAAATGTCAAGCCTCCGCATACATGCATCTCCCCTCCACCCTCCCGTGAAATGTCGATTTTCGAGATTAAAAAAAAAACAATAATTGCATTTTTTATTTCAATAACGCATGAGTAAATAGGGATATGAACGCAGATTTAATATAGGCCCATAGAATTACGGGGACCGGCAAGGATTTGGAAAGTCTGAATGCAAGTCCTGCTTACACCTAACAAGTGCTGAAGTGGGACATAACCAGAGGTAGAAAGGTCTCGGAAGCACTTGGGAAGAGGCTTCCCAAGACCTATCCAGTTCTGAACGGAGAGACCTAAGTAGAATTTGTCAGGTCCAATTATTCGACTCGGGAGACGAGTGGTCATGTTTTCTCAGTGTCGGCGAGCTAAGTCCAACTCGATTACAACTTTATAACTGTAGGAATTCTTGTTGGACATTCGGGCGTTTGTAATGTACAAGACCCACTGGATAATGTAAGACAATGGAGTGGGTCCCGGGTGTTCTCCATGTCTACAATATTAGGTGGCTACGAGAATTTGAATCTCTGTGGACTCGCGAATTGCTGTGAACTCGTACAGTTGTTAAAAAAAGATCGCTCTGTTCGAGAAAGTTTTGTCTGGGTTTGAATGAACTCGATAATTACTCGACAATTGAGGGAGGTGTAATTAATGAATGGAAATCTACTGAGAAAATGAGATGAAAGGAAAAAGGAACATTCGTTATGGGAGGGTCTCAGTGGGAAACAGTTATAGAGACGGTTTTCGATTACAAGTTCAATTAATTTGTGTGAATGTTTTAGTACAGGCATAATGAAATCTTTTCTCAATGTACACGAGAAAAATTGAACTTTTAGGGAAAGTTTAGTAGTAAATATTTTTCAAGTGATATTTTTCAACATCAGAGCTTTCATTTGAGCCGTATTTGACCTCAAGTGTCCAGACATTTTACAATGAATTTATTATTTAAACTTCGCAGATCGGCATTTTTATCTCGATATTGAATCGTTAGAAAACATTCTAAAAATTTGAAAAAAATTAGAAAATTTATTTTTAGAGAAAGATTGACGAAATCATAGAAAAATTGCAAGTTTTGAAAATTGCGAGCATTTTTTATAAATAATTGATAAATAATCAATTTTTCACTGTAAAAATCATTTATTCGCAATCGTAACGAATTTATTGACATTCAGAATTTTACCGGAAATTGATGTTATTCACATGCCTTCTATCGTATAGACTCGAACCCCTGCTTATTTTTCCAATAGTGTACTCTACGATTTTCAATAATTACGTTCACATTTTTTACTTGAGCCGATTATCATTGGATCCCAAATCAGATATATTTATGTTGAACACCATTTTCTCTTGTTATAAAAAATGACTCACTCATCATTGGTAAATTAAATGAATAAATAATGACCCCTCATTACTAAAATTAATAAAGAATATTTCGTAAAAGACAATTTTCTCTCGGTCCACTTTATTTATTCAATCGTTAATTATCTCAGAAATACGTAATGCCAGGTTAAATTATAAAGCGGCCTTTCCAGTCTAGAATTTTCCTGGCATAGAAAGAGCTGTTTCAACGTCTCATCCTGAAAACCCTCGTTTCTGAGAGAACTGCATAATTAACAAAGATTTCACAGAAGGGTCTCGGGAGGTTACCCCGAACTTACTTCTCCCACATGAAATATGTGGATCTACGGTCGTTCAGCGTCGGGTATACCCAACTTGTTGCTACAACTCTGAAATTAATTAGGGGCGGGTCGGGTGAAACGGACCGCTCTGGACCTTCAGCATCTGCTGATCAAACGATTCGTTTGGGTGAATTCGATCTTCTTTCGAAACTCGAACAACAATTTCCTGACAGGCTGTTCTGCCTCATCTTTCTGGCAGCATTTCTGTGAAAAGTCGTAAAAGAAATTTTTGATTTAGTACACAGAAAAACCTAAACGCAAATTATGTTTAAGAAGGAGTTGTTTACGCTTTCTGAACCGTATTTTACGTTTGCAGTTGAAGCGTAAATTTCTCTCAAAATCGCTATAAATTAGGATTACAAAAATGCACGGAGACAAATTCTTTAGAAAAATTCTAGTGCTAGTGCTAGAAAAAATTTTAATCCACCGGCTATGAAAAATTCTAGTTTTGTTAAGGTAAAATTCCTAGGGATTTCTGATGAAATTTCCGGGGATTTCTGGAAGAATTTCATATAAGAATGGGAAAATTTTACGTGCTACTTAATAAAATTTCCAATACCGACGCTGGAAATTCTCCCTGGCCATCACTTCGGATTTTTTTTTTCGTGCTAGCGCTAGAATTTTTCTAGAGAATGTCTCTCCGTGTGTAATTTACGATTTCATATTCATCACGTATGTCCAAAATTGTCGTAAATTACGATAATTTTTGGCAGTTTTAATAAATAATTACATAAACGTAATTTGCATATTATACTCGAGTCAACTTTCACCTCCACCGCCCAAATATTTTAACTTATTTTTTTTGCATTGTTTATCCCACCCCAGCACATTTTAGATTTCGTAAATGGTTTTATTTATCATTCGAGTCCCTATTGCAATTTTTTCAAATTTCATAAACAATAGTTGACTGAGAAACTAATTTTTTCGTGAATCAGGTGTTGGAATTTTCGTCGATTCATTTCCCTAAGTCCTCTAAGCGGAGATTATAGTGGGAAAATTGGTGCCACTGCTCTTGACTTCGGACGAGTGTAGAGAGTTGGCTGTGTTGTCTGACGTCACGCCGATATTCAAAAGTGATTGGTGGATTATAAGCGTGCCGTTTACCTACACGGAGAGAAATTTTCTAGAAAAATTCTAGTACGAGTACTGGAAAAAATTACAATTCACCGGCTGTGAAAAATTCTAGTGTTGTCAAGGTAAAATTTCTTGGTATTTTTGGTAAAATTTCTGGGGATTTCTGTGAAATTTTCACAGAAATACGGGGAAAAATTCACGTTCTCTCCAATAAAATTTCTAGTGCCGGCACTAGAATTTTTTCCTGGCCGTCACTTTGCGCCTCTTTTCCCGTGCTAGCACTAGAATTTTTCTAAAAAATGTCTCTCCGTGTATGCTTGAACACCCGTGACTACAATACTATCCAAATGGAGTCAGTGGAACTCTTGTTATGATTTTTAATTCTTGATTTCTCGCTTGATATCCTTGTCTATAAACAAAGATGTTGGGATTTCGACTCGATGACAAACGTTTCACTTTGCCTCAGGTTCCCCCGTTATTGAGGAAAAAAATGTTGACAAGAACGGGTGAATCACCACGAAAAAAAATTAGCAGAAGAACCCTCGCTCAGGACAAGCGTTACTCTCTATATAATGAATTGCAGGATTAAAGATATGTCATTACAGAAATGTGTGAAGTCTCCCCAAAAACAAAAATAAATTTTTGCAAAAAAACTCGCCAAGAACGGGGCCAAGCGTTCTGTAAACAAAAAGTGGTTCTGAATACAACTAAGGAAAACCGACGAAAAAAATTGAAATTATCAAAATAAAATGATGAAAACGAGTCAATAAACATTCCAAGTCAACCAATTTGGTGTGCGAGTTTTTAGAGTCTTGCATCGCACGCCAAATTCGTTGACTAAAAATGTTTATTAATTTTTCTAACAGTCGATGTCTGAAAATTTTGACATGTTCCTGGAAATCGAAACATTTTTTTCTCTGCGGCCCGGGATTTTTCTCTGTGCTGCACTTGAAAAAAAAATTGTACAGAAGTGAGCGATTATCACCACCTAATCCAGCTAACCCGATAAATTCACAATAACACAATATAACCTCTGGCATATTCAACCATACAAGTAATTGACCGGCCAACAAGATCCAGAAGGTAGAGCCTGTAGATCAAAGAGCTCTGTAAGCACTGAGCGCTCCAATAACGACACAGGATAGCCCAGGGTACACGACGTGGATTTAATTAGAGAGAGAGGATGGTCAACGGGCGTGAATACTACTCTTCGACCCTTGTGTTCCAACCAACAGGTCTATAGTTGTACCTTTATACTTAGCTCTCTCTCTCTGTGATGGGGGAACCTGTGCAAACTCAATAATCTACCCTCCGTACACCACAGAGATGGGCGGAACAGGAAGAAGGGAGAGGATGGCGAAAATTTTCATGCACGTACGCTTTGGCTTTCGTACCATTACAGGGGCAATTGTCGGGAATCGTTGGTTAATTTTCGTCCCGTGTTGACTCGTTTGGCCTCCTATTCATTGTCAATGTTGGACGTTTTAGACGTGAAGATTTAATGGAAAATACCCGCAAAAGGGAGGTGACAGGGGCGAGCGGGGCAAAATTTCAGAGGGAATTTTCGGGGTTTCAGGGTTACCCTCGAAATTTTTTATCGCCATTGGAAGCTTTGTGATCGTGCGAATTTCAGTTTCAAGAATATTTTCAAGGAGAAATTTAAGAGAAATTTATTTCTATGGAGAATAACTTCACCAGACATTTGAATTTAAACTGAAAAATATGCGCGCAGACTTATGGATAAAAGGGAAAAGGACGTCTGCAAACTGATAGAAAAAACAGCGTCCCTTTCTGCACTCGTCTGAAACGTGTCCGACTACAGCCCGGGCTAGACTACTTCCTCAAACCACTGATTTGTGGGGTTCACGCATCTATTCACTCAAGTTTGGACTGAAAATTTAAGGGATTTGGAGAATTCTTGGATTCCTGCTGTTAGAAAAAAATGGAATTCCATATGAATTTCAGTGCAATCTGAAATTTCATGACTTGTTTTTTCTAACTTGAATTAAATGGCAGTCTTCTGAAAATTAGCAGTCAACTGTTTATGAAATTTAAATTTTTGTTCAATCGTGGAGAAACTTTTCTCTCCTCTGCAGGGAGAAAAGTAATTTTTACCGCAGGAGTCAAATTTTCCCTTGACGAAACGTAAAATTCCCTTCACACAAAGTATTTTCTATTAAATTGCATTTCACTGTATGATTATGCTTCGAACACTAGAATATTCTGTAATTTTTGTGATAATACTCTCAACATTTCTCTCCGTATTCGTGGTGCTTGATCCAAGACAAACTATCTGCAGAAATATTCTTCTTCCTGTGTTTAAACTGAAAAATACGCGCGCAGACTTATGCGTCCAGAGGAAAAAGAACGCCTGCAAACTCATAAAAAAACAGCAGCCCTTTCTCTTCGTTAAATACACTCGTCTGGAACGTGTCCGACTACAGTCCGGGCTATTCTACTTCCTCAAACCACTGAATTGTGGGGTTCACCCACCTGTCCACCCAACTTTTCCCTTGACGAACCGTAAAATTTCCTTCACACAAAGTATTTTCAGTTGAGTTATATTTCACTCCGCGATTACCCTTCGAACACTAAAATATTCCATAATTTTTCTGATAATACTCTCAACATTTATCTTCGTCTTCGTGTTTCTTGATCCAAGACAAACTATCTGCAGAAATATTCTTCTTCCTGTGTTTAAACTGAAAAATACGCGCGCAGACTTATGCGTCCAGAGGAAAAAGAACGCCTGCAAACTCATAAAAAAACAGCAGCCCTTTCTCTTCGTTAAATACACTCGTCTGGAACGTGTCCGACTACAGTCCGGGCTATTCTACTTCCTCAAACCACTGAATTGTGGGGTTCACCCACCTGTCCACCGAACTTTTCCCTTGACGAAATGTAAAATTTCCTTCACACAAAGTATTTTCAGTTGAGTTATATTTCACTCCGCGATTACCCTTCGAACACTAAAATATTTCATAATTTTTCTGACAATACTCTCAACATTTCTCTTCGTCTTCGTAGTGCTTGATCCAAGACAAACTATCTGCAGAAATATTCTTCTTCCTGTGTTTAAACTGAAAAATATGCGCGCAGACTTATGAGTCCAAAGGAAAAAGAACGCCTGCAAACTCATAAAAAAAACAGCAGCCCTTTCTCTTCGTTAAATACACTCGTCTGATACGTGTCCGACTACAGTCCGGGCTATTCTACTTCCTCAAACCACTGAGTAGTGAGGTTCACCCACGCGGTCGCCTCTATTAAACATTGTATCTGCTGCCATGTTGTACCTTCCAGTCGTGTGGGTTGGGATTTTCATTTTCTAAAAATAGACTGTCTGAGGTTCAAATACACCGGGTTTGTTCCAACGGCGGTGGGTTCCACTCGGTTGCGCCCCTAACGTACACTACCTACTTGGTACCAGCCCCACCGCGCTACTCTACCTCTTGAGACAAAATCCCGGGGTGAATCTCTTCTCATGCTAAGCTAAAATGTGATATTCGTGACTCGAATGCGCTCTAGTGCTTTTTTGTCCTTGAGATTAGGGGAAATGAGGTTAATAAATAGCAGATGAACGTCTGTGCGAAATGGGAGTTTCTACTTTTATCATTGCCCGGAGAGAATTAGTGGATTGAATGAGAAAACTTTGGGTAACAGCAATGGAAAAAATCGTAATTGTGGTCATTGAGATGTTTGTTGAATAAAAACTAGTGGTTGATTGACTAAGTGGCCACTTTGTCGCAGATTCAATGGTGTTTTGACTCAGTATTTATGATTCAAACGGCAAAAACAAATGTCTGAATTTCACAAGCCTTTTGCAGACATTTTTCAGATACTAAGAAACTAAAAGAGCCGAATAAAATGAAAATTTGTCTGAATTTCAGACGAACAGGTGACTAAACATTTAAATTCATGTCTGAAATTCAAATAAATTTTCATTGCATTCAGACGTTTTTTAGTTTTTGAAAAATGTCTACAAAAGGTGTGCGAAATTAAGACATTAATTTTTGCTGTAATTATTTGGGTCAAATCGTTCATTCCATTTTTATCAGTTTGTGGAAAGTTTATCAATTTCCCACAAAAATATTATTGAAATTGATAGGAAAAGTGAAGTAAATATTTATTTATTTATTCATCTCTTTGGTGTTACAAATGTTTTTCTTTGTTTTACACCTATAGAGTCCTCCTCCTCTTCTTAATAATTAGTTGACATCAGTTATATAAGATTTCTTCTATGTTTATTTTCCAGTTATCCTCATCAATAAAACGTCAAAAAAACTCAAAAAACTCCAATAATACCAAAGAAAAATTTAAAAAAAATGGAAGAACTCTGGAAATTTTTTCAAAAAGAATTCTCTTATGCGTACCCTATCGCGCATTAAAAATGAAGTAATTGTTTAGGAAGGGAAAACTTCTATCTAGTTACGTCTAATAATTCGTCATTATGAAATCAAGTAAATTGTGGATTTGATTCTAATACAAATACAATTACAACAAACAATTTACAATTTACAGTACAATTTACTTGGAATGAAGAAATTATGAATATCACATAATTTAAACATTTCCACTGAAATGAACAATTTACTGAAAAAACAAGCTTCATTTTGAAACTTATGATCTCAAATGGAGACTTTTCAATGTTTCAAGACTTTCCGAAGTCTCAAATTGAAATCATCAAAGTCTTAACGAGACTTGACCTTGAGACTTTTGAAAATCTTATCTCTAATATTATTTTAAGGTCTTTAAAATCTTGAAATAAGGTATTATTTTGGGTGGAAAAAAATCAACTTAATATTTTCATTAATGACAAGGAAATCTTCAAATAACTCCTAACGCTTAATCAATTTTCAAGATAATTTTACCAAAAATTGTTTTCATTTCCAAGCAATAAATAAAATAATTTTGAAGAAGAGGAAGTGCAAATGGAAAAATTGGGAATGGAAAGTCTGTTAAAGGAACTATCACTAGAATGGCATTTCTCCTCTCACGTGAGCTAGAGACATTGGGTAAAAAGCATATCCCTTTATGTTTCAGTTGTTGAGCTCGATTGTTGTCGTAGGCGGTACGAACGTGGCTGGTGCATTAACGCATCATCCCCGGGAGTTAGCCCAGAGACAAGCTTTCCTGGAAACACGTCAATGCGTCGAAGCCCGGCTGACCACGCAACGAGAAAATCAACAACAGGTATTCATACCACGAATAACTCGATATGAAATTACATGTCACTTTGTTTTACATATTCGTCCTTCTCACTTTACAATACACAATTAAATTCCTCGGATAACGTGAAGCCCAGATTTTCCTGGGAATCCAGTCGAGTTTCATGAGGGTGGAGGGGCGTTTGGAATTTATCACTCGGAAACTCCCGGTGAAATCAATCCTCTCGAGTTAGTGTAATTCGAAATTATTTGATCCCGTATTTGTTGGGTGTCCAATTTAAGTATCAAATCTTTCATTCCGGTTTTTTTACGATGAAGATGAAGCTCGTATTTTTCAATCACAGATATAATTGATGATTTCAACTCAAACCTGAGATATTGCCCATGTTTTTTTTACAAAAGGAAATAACAGAGACTGCAAGTTTTTCCGTGCTCCACAAATCTCCCACATCTCAAATGTAAATTTCCTATTGTCAGGAAACCTTCTCATTCTGCTGAACACTCCAGTGAAAATATTTCAGTCACAAACGATTGCACACGTGGTACAACTCGGCTGATACTGCAGTTGACATCCCTCATAAATTATTAATAACTCAACGAAGTACGATGAGAATCACTTCTTATTTGCATATGCATGAGTCTCCGGCCCCACTATGAATTAACTTTCGGAACGGATCAAGGTATAATTAACGGCGATTTCCCAGTGACTGGGTAGAGTTCCCTTCAGTCTGATTACAAAATTCGGAAGCTCCGTCCTATTATCATAAAGATTAAATCTACCGGATTTGATCCTCTTCTTTCCATCGAGGATGATTGAGCTTGGCCAGTTTCATCATGAAACTATTATGCATGCACATAATGCCGCACAATTATCCCTTTTGAATGACTCTCTTGATCTCCTTGACATTCTGGGAGAATTGAGAAAGTTGAAACAGACTTGGAAACTCGGAGGACACTATGAAGAGAGAATTTCAAATAAGGATAATGGTCAGTGTCAGGATCCATTACTCCGTCTGCGTAATGAGGCTATTTATGTTCTCGGTGAGGCGGAATCGGGTGTACATGAGGAAGAGAGAGAGAATTTATGATTAGAGAGATATTCCAGGGGAGAGTTATATGGTGGTAATTGTTAATATCACCTTTACTTCATCATCTTCGCGGGATTGTGATGTTCTGTGGTTGAAAGAGGGGCTATAATCCTTTCTATGAGATGTCGGGGCGACTCATCTACTTTGCTTTCAATTTTACGATTTTTTAACGGGGATTATTGCGTTCTTTTTGAGGCTCTTGGTGACATTTTGGATTTCAAAACTTTCCGAATTTTCAGACAGGGGAAATTATTTGTAAATATGTTCCCAATATTAGAATTTTTTGCTCTCAACGTCGGTTTTTCTCCCGTCTACTCGAACTCGCTGTTCAATACACGTATGAAGTAATTCAATAGAAAATCTAGCGAATTCGCTAGAAAATTCTATTGGAATTCTATAGAAATTCTAAGGGGTTTCTGTAGGATTTCTATTGGAATTTTATTGAAAAATTCGATAAAAAGCAGATTTTTTTCTATAAGAATGCTTGCGCATCAATTTTCTAAGTTTTTTCCGCTCAGATTCTATAATGCAAAACAAAACAAAATCCAGCGGAAATCACTTGGAAAATTTTGTCCCCTACAATTCTAATAGAAAAAATTTAAGAGCAAAATTCAAACAGAAATTCGCTATCTTCTGACTCATTCTGATTGAATATCCAATAGAATCAGCGCAAAAAACTAATAGAATTTTTCAATGGAATTCCAATAGAAATTCTATAGAAACCCCATAGAATTCCAATAGAATTTTCTACCGAATTCTCTAGGTTTTCTATTGAATTTTTTTATTCGTGATATGCAACAATTTCTACACTGACGATAAAAAAATTATCATCTAAAATTTAATGATAATCTTGAGCTTTCACCAATAAGTTGTTTAATTACGGTATTCCTTTATATAGATTTTTCTGAAATTTTTAAGATCAATCTCAGTTCTTCTTCTTCTTCTTCTTCTTCTTCTTCTAATCCTAGTGGCTTTATCCTCTCACTCTTGTAGAGGCAAGTGCCAAAACTTGTAACTAATCTCAGTTCAACAGTACAAACGGTTGCCATGATCGGCGATTGTCGGAAATTTGTTGATAACAAATCAGTTAATCATTGAATCGAAATTTGGTTTGTGCCATTCGACAAAGGAATGTATAGAGTATGTTCGGTATAAATTTCGTAATTTTTGTATGAAAATTAGCTCGATAAACGAGAGGGTTGAATATGCATCTGACATCGAATTCAGTTCCGTATTGTTTATGTATTGAAGAAAAATATTAAAAATAACTTGAGAAAAAATCGAGTCGCATTGTGTTGATAATTTTATTAATATCAATATTAATTTCGATGTCTACAATAGTACGAAAGATAATGAACATTTGTTAATCACAGAAAGGGTCGATATGTAGCATAGATGCCGCACTTGAAGGGTTAAAGTACATCAGCAGATTTTGATTCTAATTCTTCATTCATTCCAGTAAATTAACACATTAATTCGCATGTTAATTCTACTATACACGATGAAAAGTTACTCTATTCGGTCACCGACTTTACTCTCGTATGTCCACCCCCAAACCAGGTCATCAGCGATCATTTGTTGCTAATCGAGAGATAAATCCCGAAACAGAACCTTGTATAACCATACCCAATTTCAAAACAAATTGATGACCCACTGAATCATTAAACCAAACGAACTCCACCCACCACGCAAGAGTATTATCATTCTTCCATTATACGACTCACCACAGTGAACACGCGAGTTCATATTCACGAACCCACCAATTTTCAGATTCTGTCAAACAATAACCAATACAAGCATCGTGAATCATGAATATATCATCCATACCGATCACACCGTGAATCCAGCCCACGTTAAATCCCCCAGGGACGGGTATTGTGCTGCACTCATTCATGAAATAATGAAAGTGTTTTCAGCATCGAGTTAATTTCGTAGAAATAATTCGGCGCATATTAATAATTAATAATTGTACCAAACCCTCGGTTACATCGTTGATTATTTCTATTTTCAGGAACGATTGTTACTGAGTGTATTACCGCGGCACGTTGCGATGGAAATGAAGGCCGATATTGCCGGAAAACCGAAGGACACCATGTTTCATAAAATCTACATTCAAAGGCATGAGAATGTCAGGTAATGGTTTATTTTCTATTCTATTCTCTCATTGTTGAAAATTTTCGTCCTGGAAATTTTCATCAAGGGACAGTTCTGTTGATAATTCAAGGAATTTCGTCGTGAAAACTCGAAATTTCAACGACAAATCAATGAAAACGATAATGTTTAGTTCAATTATGTGACAAAAATAGATAAAAATCATGAAAATGCAGCAGAATATATTCTTGAATTTACAATGTATTTTTAAAAATCATTTAATCATAAATTTAATTTCTTCATTCATTCCTTGAATTTTTTTTTGTTTAAATATATTCAGTTTTGATTATTTTTTTCTGTTCTTCCTGCTGCTGGAAAATGCGAACTTTCATACTCAGAGAAATGGTTAATTGAATCAAATCGATGAGTAAATTCAAATAACGTAATTAAGATCGTAGTGAAGCTGTTATTTAAACTTAAACTCAATTTTTATGCTTTTTGCAATCTATTGAATAGTTTCATTAGTATGAACAACTGCTTCTTGATCCAAATAAAGACTATTAATAAGAAATAAAATAATTGTTGAGATGGTAAAGAGAATGAATTAATCAACGTTGAGGAGTTAAATTTAATTCAAATGCGCCATTTTCCTAGATGCATTGCATTTTCAGTGGAAGACACAAATTTTCGTCTGAATTTTCCGTGCCAAATTCAGAAAATTTTTATCGTGTTCAAGTTCCACTAAAATTGCAGGAAATCTTATCATTAAAAAATCAAATATTCCATTGATTTTCGGTTCAAATGATCTGGAAATCAATAAAATACTGGATTTTTCAGTTAAATTATTCTGTGAAAATTCCGAAACATCAGGAAAATTCAGGGAAAAATTGAAAATTCATGTGATTTTGTTTCAGAATATTCATGTTCCATTAAAAATTCAATCAAGTTGTGAAATTTCCATCTCAGTCGCAATGAAAACTCATGGATTTGCGTGAATTCTACTCAAAACTTGAAGATTCATAACTATTTTTTCCCTAAATCTGATTCACTGTCACTCTCATGAGATTTACTAGAATATCTTCTATGAAATTTCAAAAAACTTTTAAAAGTATACTCCGAATTTTACAAAAATTGATTGCACGCCTAAAAAAATAAACTTTCCGAAAGGTTAAACAATCTCAATTATTGATTTATAAACAACGAATGTTTAAAAAAATCATGATTCAGTGCAAAATGTAATTTCCATTTGATGACTAAAAATGGGTGAATCTATAGTGTGACCTGTACCAAACTGTAAAAGATACTTCAACATCCCCAACACCATTCGAATTTTTCACAGACGCATGATTATGAGTTTTTCCAGCATTCACCCTCAATTTTTTCTAAAGAATTTCTCTCCGTGTATCAAATACTTTTCTCAACCTAAACAAATCTTTCTTAATAAAGAAGACATTATTAATGACACATAAAATAATTATTAAGACAGTGAAGAAAACGAAATAATTACCATCATTCCCCTCTCCAGTCGACCTCACCGTCACTCCCTTGAAAATTAATACAAAAAGTCCATGCAATTACAATTTTCCCCTAACAGTGCTGACCACACCGTGACGATTTTCCTTTTCCACTCGTCTCTAGTATTGCTGTTTTCATTTCATCTGCCAGACTTTTCTCCCACCATCTCTTTTCCATGAAACAAGACTCATTCCGCGAGACGAGAACAGAGGTTCAAGTGAGGTAGAAATAAATTATAAAACAACTTTCAACGTGCTCTTTGTATAACTGGTAATTCAATTCACTGAACAAGCGCCACGGGTAAATTTCTGATAAAGCAATCATTATTATTATTGTTACACTATTCATTGAGTGTGTGTTGGCTGGCGAGTGGCTATTGTTGGCTTCTGGAAATGGCGAGAAGCAATTTTTGTGAGTAAATATGATATTCACCCGCAATTCTGATTTCAATGGAGTTTCCTCGATCAGATGAAGGGGGAGGTGGAGGGGGAATTAGTGTGAGAGAATTTTTTTTTTATTTGAAAGAATGGAGACATATTCCGGTGACACGAGGAGGCCTAGCAGCATGATTTATGCTCCTCAATGTTTTCCCCTCAAAATTGCCTCGAGAATTTCGTGGATAAACGAGAGAGACTGTCTGCAGGTTGGGTTTGGGGGATTTTTTACTTTTCCTTGACATGCGATTCCCCGAGTTTAACACTCGGGGGTGTCTGCCGTGAACCGTGCAAATTTTGTTTGTGTGTTTCAAGAGGGAAATGCGGGGATTTTCTTATCGTGGAAGTAAGACGATGTGATGTGTGATGTATGTCAATTCTTTTTTCAGCATTCTGTTTGCGGATATATGTGGCTTCACGTCACTATCCGATCAATGCACTGCTGAGGAACTCGTGCGGCTGCTCAATGAACTATTTGCGAGGTGAGATTTTCCTATTTTTGCATATGATAGAATGATTCGAATTTTTAGAGTGTAATATTGAGGTGATGGAGGCTCCATAGTGGGGGTTCAAGGTCTTGGGGTAAATGTAGAACAGTGGGGTATATTATCTTATACACAAAAAAAAAATTACTTTTGATCAGTAGAAAAAATGAAAAATATGACGCAGAAAAAATTGTTGGCATTTGAAGAATTTGAAAATATCGGGGATTTTTTTCAGCGACTACTTCACGTGACTCATTGACCAATCAGAATTGAGGATTAGCGGTGAGGCAGTTTCGAGATATTTCGATATAAAACAACTTCACGTTTCTTTCATCTTTAGCCAATAGACTTCCCCCTGCAAACGGACTATGTATCCTAAAAGCAATGAAATATTGATAATAATAGCAATAATAATGATAATTAACAACAACAAAAAGTTATTCTGCGCGTAAAGTACGTTTCTCAACTCATGGAATAATAGTAGAGCAAAATCGAGAAGAATCGGGCATTGATTCGATCATCAATAACCCGAAATTATCAGAATAAAAGTTGACAAATATCCCGGCATTTCCAAGCTCCATGCTTCATCCTTCAAAATACGATCAACTTGATCCAATTCATATGGTTTGTCTAGGTGATATTGAAGATTTATCGTAGTCTATTCTGCTCCACCTACCTCCATTCGTCTTCGTTTCTTATGCATATTGCTCCGATTCAGCTCCGATGCATTCAATTCCTTTCTATTCGAATATTTCCGTCTTGGAATTCTCCATTGATTATTAACAGTAACCGACCCTCTACTATCCGCAGATCATGATACCGTGGGGAAGCCCTTCCGAAGGGAATGCCTTCTCTATTGATAGCGGATGATACGTAGTTCTGGAGAATTGGTGGGGTGTGAGTCAACGAGGATTGTTGTAGTACGAGTCAGTCTCCTGAATGGGACGATGATAAGACCTTGGCAATTATTGCCGATGACGCACTGAGAAAAAAATTTATTCCTTCCTAGAAAATGTTATTGGTAATGTTATTGGATATCTTTTTCATACTCTTAGTAGAAGAAAATATCTCTTTTGGAACGTATTTCTGCAGGCCAGTCATTTCCAGGTGCGCCGAAATCAGTTCCAAGCGTGAGAATTATGGTGATCTATAAGAATATTCTTCTGCATATGACCTCGAAGAAACTCCAATAATAATTATTAACATTTGGAATTATTCCAATTTTCTTTACCTGAGAAAATCGCCAATTTGTAAAATCCGGAAGATATCGGAGAACATTTTGTCAAGGTCATATGTAGCATAATAATCAGATTGTTCAATATCACTGTAATTTTTGAGGATAGACTTGGACTCTCTGAAAATGACTGTCCTGGAAAAATTCGTTCTGAAAAAATATTATCTTCTGACGAGAATATCAATCCTTGGCAGGAATAATTTTTTCTCTCAGTGTGGGGACGTTTATCTGCTTTTCAAAAAACATTCTCCACTTCAATTTTTTTTTATTGAATTACATTTTGCTCCGCAGTACCCTTCGGACAGTAAAATTTGCTGAGATTTTCCGAACGATATTTCCGCCAGAGTTCTGTTCATTTAGAGAATACTGCGCGAATCTTGATGTGAGCTTTGTACGTGGAGAGAAAAATTCAATAAAAATTACCAGAAAAATACGTGAAAATTACGTTTCGAAACGTAATCCGCGAGCGAGGTCAAATTCAATAAAAAGTGTGAGTCGGAAATGAAATTGTACGAGTCGCCACGTAAATTCTACGATTTGTTCCGTAAAAATTAACCACCCGTCTGATGACTCACCGCTGTGGGGACAACAAGTCGTTCCGTAGATTTTCCCCTACGATTGAGAAATTTTACGGAACGGAACGTAGAAATAACTCACCAGCTTCATAATTGATTTGTCAATGAAGAAATATACAGAAATTTGATGGATTTAATTTCTGTATTAAATTTCTCTCATTATCAGGGCAGTGACACTGAATGCGTTTTAGGGAAAAAAAATCCCGAAATTTTCAGTTTCACCGAAAATTCAGTAAAATTCAAGAATCTTTAGGGGCTTTATGCCCCTTTATGAAAAGAATTCTCTAATTTATTTAAATTTCTAATCTGACATGAATATTCAGTGTCCAATTGAATTGAATTTTCAGTGAAATCTGAAATTTCCCCATTTTTCCCCCTAAATCGCATTCAGTGTCACTGTCCGGAAAATTCAAAAATATATTTACCAGAATTTTCTGGTTTTCTATTCATTTTCAAAGAAAAATGGCACGGAAATTTACAGTTCTGTTTGATTTTTCCAAGAAATTCTGAATTTTCAATGATAAGATTTCCTGAAATTTCATTGGAATTGGAACACGATAAAAATTTCCGGAATTTGGCACGGAAAATTCAGACAAAAATTTTTAACAGTGCCTCTGATTTTCAGGAAAATGAAAATCCAATAGAATGTGTAGTGATGCCCTCGAGACTACACGATAAATTTTTTGAATAGAGCATCGCTGTCTAAAAAAACATCAAAAGTTTTGGGATCGTTGCAATCTCCAAAGACATTGGATCGGTGCATCTCGTCACGATTTTCTGAGCACTTATTTTGCCTGGGTCTCGACTTTTTCGGTTTTTTATGTTTTTATATCGCCGATATAGCGTAACGATTTTTCGAGATTGCGACGATTCCAAAACGTTCGATGTTTTTTCTGACCGTGATCATTTATCCAAAAATTTTATCGTGTAACTTGACGACATCACTAATCAGAGGCGTGTGCCTGAAAATCAAAACGTTTTTTCCTCTACGGAACTCAAACTCATCCCGCGCACATTATTTAACGAAGGGTTATTGATGGTTCAAAAACATGCCACTCCCCTGCACCTCTCTGGTACATATAGGTGGAACAATAACTCGGTTGCCGAAATTTCTGCGAGGACAACCATTATCAGCAGAATGAAAGGAACACAATACACCAAAAAAGGCAGCATTGTAATTGAACCCACGTTTCGGATAATCATCCAAATTTTTAATTACCCGAAAAAACTGGGGGGAACATTCGAACAAAGTCCTGAAAAAATTCAATCCAATTACCGAAGTAACCAGCGCATGAATCATGTGGGTCCAGACAAGTAAAACAAGGGCGAGAAGGAGTCCAAAGTTTACAAAGACGAGACACTCCCAAATCCCTTAGCAGACCGGAGTGTTCCATCCGTTCGAAATCCAAACTTTTGGGAGAGGAAACCCGTATGGTTTTCACGAAGAATGGAATCGTCTGTAGAATCCCAGAGTGAGTAAAGAGAAAAGACATCCGTTGTGTTTGCAAGGAAATGTGGTACTGTCACTTGATATCTCTCGATGATCATTGAGAAGCCATCAAGACATGCACATGAAATAAGAAGTTTGATGAAGATGATAATGTTTTATTAAGGGAACACGTTTGGAAAAATTCAATAGGAAACCTAGCGAATTCGCTAGAAAATTCTATTGGAATTTATATGGGGTTTCTATAGGATTTCTATTGGAATTCTATTGAAAAATTCTATTCGTTTTTGGCGCTGATTCTACTCGATAAGAAAAATTCAATAGATATTCGATAAGAAAAAATCAATAAATTTCGAATTTCTGCTTGAATTTTTTTATAAGAATGCTTGGGCATCAATTTTCCAAGTTTTTTCCACTCGGATTCTGCAATGTAAAATAAACTAAAATCCAGCGGAAAAAACTTGGAAAATTTGTCTATTGACTTTTTTTTATTGAATATCCAATTGAAGCCGCGCAAAAAAACAAATGGAATTTTTCAATAGAATTCCAATAGAAATCCTATAGAAATCCCATAGAATTTCTATAGATTTCCAATAGAATTTTCTAGCGAATTCGCTAGGATTTCTATTGAATTTTTTCATGTGTGAAGGTCCACCTCGGCAAAAAAAACTTTAGTTTTTAGAGAAAAAAAATGTTGACATATCATTTTCAGGGCAACAATTGTTTTTTCTTCAAAGATTAATCAAATTTTTGATAAACGAATAAATTTCAAAATGTTCAGGAGCAAAAATTTGTGATCATATGCAAAAAACGTAGGGAATTTTGGTTAAGTTGACTTTTCGATTTAAAAAACTTCGACTCACTAATTTTGAGTGGCTGGAGACAATTTTAACCGACAAAATCAGATTCCTGAGGAAAAATCATGCAAAACATAATATTTGAATTTTTTTTTCTCGAAAAAAGAAAAAGTTTTTTTCTTGGGGTGAACCTCCCTTTAAAGTGTATATTAAGTCATTTTTTTTCCTTAAAATTTAGTAAGAATTCAATATTGAAAAAAAAAAAAAATTCTAAGAGAATTAGAATTTAGAGAGAAAAAATTTCCGCTTCACCCAGCCGGGAATCGAACCCGGGTCTCCCAGATACGCGCCGGGCACTCTTACCGACTAAGCTACAACACAATTGAACAACACAATTTGATGTGTGAAAGACAAATGTTATATTTCTTTAGAGGAATTATCTATCAATTCGAGTCTACGAAAGTCTCAAATTAAGAGCTTTCAAAGTCTCAACTGAAGACTTCCAGTGAGCTGAAATTGAGATCTGCAAATATCAAATTACTACTTTCGAAACTCTCCATCCGAGACTTGCACACGGAGAAAAAAGTTAGAGAAAAATTACCGAACAAGTCAAGTAATCGCGGAGCGAACTCGATTTTCAGTACTTTTTCTCCCTATACCAGGGAAAAAGTGCTAGACGAATAGCGATTTCTTTTTCGTTGGTTCGGGAAAATTTAGTGAACGTGAGGGCAATTTGTGCCAAAACTGTTAAATTTACCCTGCATTCCATTGAAAATCTATTAGATCGATCGGGCTGAAATTTTGAACAGAGTTAGTCCTCGTTAAGACCTGTACCCATCAAAATTTCAGATTTTTTGGAATTACTTTAACCACTTAATTACTCAATTCTCTAAAAATTGACCGCCGGAAAGATGGCGGTGGACATGCTCACATACAGACATGGT